TTGTCGTCAAATAACTTTATACCCTATTTGTCAAGTTTGACGTACAATTTCATAGCCGACTACTAAATTTTCTCTTATTTTAAGTAACATTACAAAATACGTGTCTTTAGTTATTTAAGTTTTTTATGAAAACGACAAAGGTTTTTAAAAAATAATACGAGTAAGAAAAGTTTTAGAATTAAATTCCACATGAAATGAAGTAGTAATGTATTAAATCCGCCAAAAGGTTAAAAACATTTGTCAAAATTTAGGGTACCATCACCCTTAATCAACCCTATGAAATGCCTCAATTGAGTTCAATTTGCTACCAATTAATACCCTTGGTACACTCATAACGTATACCAAATTGAACTTTTTAAAAATTTAAGAGTCAACTTTGAAGGCCTATAACTCCTGAGGTGTACAACTTAGTATAGAGGTAAATTACGTTAAATCATCTTAATTTATTGTCCTCTACATGTCCCTGCTCTGTGTCGGTTCTTATGTGAATCACCCTGTATATATTATTTTGAATAATAAGTTCTAGATTTACATATTTCGCTTAAACAGTGTAATCATCATCAAAAACTACGAAATTGAAAAAACAATAATTAAACAGACTGGCTTAAAAATTATTGTAAATTCGGATTATTCCCAAATTAGAAATTCCATTTAAAAAGAAAAAAGAGTGACAAATGAACTGTGTTAAAGTTGAAAAATCATTCAAATAAATCTCCACAATTCGTCGAACGATTAAAATAATAAGAGCAATCACAAATTCTTCTATACTATAGGACATTGAGTGTATAAATGTGTCGTATTAACAGGTTACAAAAATCAAAAACCAAAAACAAGTTCTTTATATCGACAGATTCTAAAATTATAAAGCCAAAATGCGCATGTATGTTGGAATTAAAATGTAAATGTTTAAAAATTTTTAAATTTAAATTNGGAGTTAAAGAATGATCTATATCTTAAATTGAAGCTAAAATATTCTAAAATCGAAATTGATGTTGTGATCCATTTTAACCAGTAATCGAAATGTCTAAAGGAATGTAAATAATTTTTGCACTTTTACTGGTTTAATATACAGGGTGATTCACATAAGAACCGACACAGAGCATTGACATGTATAGGACAATAAATTAAGATGATTTAACGCAACTTATCTCTATATCAAGTTGTACCTCTGAGGAGTTATAGGCTTTCAAAGTTGGGTCTTAAATTTTTAAAACATTGAATATCTTCGTAATAAATTAAGCTAGAAGAACCAAATTTGGTATGCGTTGTGAGTGTACCGAGGGTATTAATTGGTAGCAAGTTGAGACCAATTGAGGCATTTCAAACGGTTGATTAAGGGTGATGGTTCCCTAAATTTTGGCAGATTTTTTTAACCTTTTGGCGGATTTAATACATTACTTCTTCATTTCATGTGGAATTTAATTCTACAACTTTTTTTACTCTTACTATTTTTTAAAAAACATTGTCGTTTTTATAAAAAACTCAAAAAACTAAAGACGCGTATCTTGTTAATGCTACTTAAACTCATCGAAAATTCAGTAGTCGGCTGTGAAATTGTACATAATTTGAGGAATAAACTGTTTATTATGAGCTAGAAAGACATCATCCATAAATAAATTTAGTTTAGGTATAATAATTTTCTAGTGATAAAGAAAAAATCACCAAAATGTCAAAATTGAGTACTTTTGGTATTAAAATAGATCATAACTCAAAAATTAAAGGTGATGGAGAAAAGTTTATTTGAAATAAATTGTTTATTATGAACTAAAAGGACATTACTCATAAACAGATTTGGTTTAGTTATAATGATTTTCTAATGATAAAAAGAGAAAATCATCGAAATATCAAAATTGAATACTTTTGGTATTAAAATTGATCATAAC